ATTTTTCTTTGTACTGTGCTTGTGACAATAGAAAAAACACCTTCAACTCCCTGAAGCAATTAACATTAAACCTCTCCCTATAATATCCATACAATATTCAGCAAACAGGGATTGAAAATACTCAAACTTGTTAGGAAGACGTTGCTATCTAGATCTACCAATGCATTGTGGTAACTAATTTTCAAGGAAAATGTGTTGCAGTTTGCTGGGGAGGATGATTAGGAGTAGGATCTTGGGAGTTAAAGGATTAAACAGTGAAGTTATTAATTTTATTATGTGATCAAAATGTCAAGTGTGGCCCTCAGCAAGAGGGGATTATGTGTAGCCTTGAGAAAATCAGGAGTCAAACAATTTAAACTGAGTGATGTACATGCCATGCTTTCTCTAAGACATGTGGTCATTTAACGTTTTTTCCTCTGATGTTTAATCTTTGAGGCCAGTTTAATTTTGGTCTTTGGTTGTCTTGAATTATAGTACCAGCCAAGTGAAAATAAAAAAATTGGCTATCAAAAGTCATGATTCCCGAGCAACCCCAGGGAAAATATTAACCTATGTATATAAATACATTAATTTCACAAAAGTAAAGGATTTTTTGGGTTTGTTACAGCAAAGAGCAAGGAAAAAAATTAGTAGTACTGTTACTTTCTTTTGGCTTATTCTGCTCTCAAAGGTTTCTTTTTTAGCTGGTCCTTCACAATTCATTTTCTCTAAACCTTTTTTTTTTATGGTTCAAGACCATCTTTGGAATTTCTTACCTTCATTGAACTGGAATAAAAAAAAAAATCAAGAACTCACGACTAACCTTCAATGAGTTCACCATCTTCTAACTCGTTCGAAGAAGTTCCCTTTCTCTCGATGTCGTTCTAGTATCCCGAGAAAAAAAAAAAAAACACTTTGTCTAACAAAGACTCACATGAAGTCACGTACACATTTTTAAGAACATTGACATAGCATTTTGATCAAACATATGATAATAGATATATAATCATAAAGACAATCATCTACAAAGGTAAGTTTAATGAGCTCACTGTAATGAGAAATTGATCAAGATTCTGGATTCTGAGTCGAGTCAACTTTTCAATTTGAGAAAGACATTGTATTTAAAAAAACCCGAAGTAGCTAATGAGTCGTTTGGTGAAGATGATTTTCACCAATAATAGCTCAAATTCGACGAAAATTTCAATAACTCTGTTCAATCAATTCAATCAAAGTTGCATGTGTTTTTATATGGCAAGGATTTAAAGATTTAGAGCTCCGTTGACACCACGTGTTATAAACATGCCTGAACACATGACTTACGTTGCCTAAGAACGACTTTTTACCGGAGAAAAAATTATTTCACACAACTATTTTGTGGCGGTCAAAAGTAGTTCTTACCTGAGACACTTCATGAATTGAAGAACTAGACACTTTTCCGGCAACAAAGTTCGGTGCGGACTCGAAATCCTTATGTTTCGAGTCGCTTTGTACATCATGGCACGAAGACACCAAACGCAGTTGTACGGCTTCACTTTTTCGCATACTGCTTCTTTACATATATATATTTTTTCTATTGCAATTCATAAGATTTACTTTTTAAAACTGACGAAGTTTATAACCGACCGAAGAAAACGCCGCTTTACGATAAGAAGTTAAGTCATCCGTGTTTTTGACTTAAAACCACGCGGATGAATTTGTTGCGACACAACGTGTACATTCATCCTTTGTCGAGTGGAGCCCGGGACGAGCATACTAATTTTTTAGATTCAGCGGTTTTCCGCCCACAACTTTTTATGTCATGTGCTGGTACATATATTGTACCTCATTCACTTTTCTTCAACATGGCGGACGCAAACGAGAAACATGACGAGGAGTAGTGACTGATCAGTCGTGAGAAAAACGAGGAACATGGCGCGTACTAGTGACTGATCAATCAAACGATTTTGGATCAAAATGTTTCGGCATACTTTGAAAGGCGTTAAGGTAGTGACTAGTTATGCTGTTCCGACGTTTCGTAAGTTGTGGTTTCCCCTCATAGGTAAGTCTTTTGTGCTCAAGCCTCCTTTCCTGTCTATTTTTCAGTCCATAACTGTCCAGTCGCCTTCACTAGATTTAATTTGTCAAAAAAAATTAACTCTTTTTTCCAGAGAGTCAAGCAAGGTTGTTGTCAAACGTGATCAGCACCCTTGAGCCGCACTTGAAAAATCTTGTGAAACAACACGAAGAGATCACTGAGAGGTTGTCTGTTACTGAGGTATTATTTCTGACCAGTGATAATACATTTCTCTTACTAACCCAGTTCGAGGTCTGTACTGTAAGTTATGGACCGAGGGGAAAAAACGAGGTTTCGTGACTTACAGTACGCACTGACAAAGCGATGTTACATTAAAATATTGCCTGCTAATTTGACTAAGCAGAGCTCACGTACTATCTGAGAGATATAGTGAATGTATATAATGCTTTTACCACTCTACATCAATATCTTTTATATTAAGCCATTCCAAAGATAACGAGATTTATTCTTATTGGGTTTAACAAATCTCCTTGAAAATTTAATCAGAAGATACTTCAAGGAAATACTCCTTGGGAAAGTTGAAATAATTGTATTCTCTGAACTAACATCATAAAAATTGTATGGCAGACAGTAAGGAGAATTACAAATGAAATTTGGGGAGTGAAAGGGTGAAGTTACTTGACATTAAGACTCAACTTTGGGTCTGAGATGGTTCTTTGAATTTCCATGTTTGTAAGGGTGGTTTTTAGTTTTAAACTCCTCCTTCCTCCAGCACTCTGTACCCTCAGCTGACTTTTTCAAATTATCATCCCCCTTCCCTTTAATTCAGTATCAGTTTTCTCTGATATTTTTGGATGGGATGTTACTTCACCACAAGCTAACCTCCCTCCACCCCTAAGAATTTTGTCAAATTTCCTATTCAAACAGTTTGGTATATTCCATTTATAATCCTCATTAGAAAGAGAAACTCCTGAAATAAAGTATTTCAGCCAGGAACACTCAACAAAGTGACTATAACCAGGACTTGTAATGGAACCTTCCCATCTAGAATCCATTAAACCTTTACACCCTCATATTGGTATATATAAATATCTATCCAGTGGATAATGCCATATGTTTTGCAATCACTTATATGCTGGATAGTGATTTATCCATTGGATAGGCTTATCTGCCCTTTATACAACAGGATCCTGACCTGAGATACTCCTCTTGTGGGTGTGAAAGGGTGTACACTAACCTGTTGGTCAGTGTGTCTTACTTTGTGTTGTAGTGACTGGGTGAGTTGCCTTTCAGGGGAATATTCCAACTGCAAGTGAACACAAGACTTTATCCAAGCAGCTTTCTAAACTTTCACCTATTGTCCATTTGATAAGCCAAATTGAGACAAAGGAGAAGGTGAGAAATAAGAAATGTCTTGAATTTGTCTTTTTATAATGATAATTGTGTAGAACTAATCATGATGATTACAACTCAGTTTGATTGGGACAAGGGTCTTCACCTAGAGGCAACAGAAGTTTGATGACCAGTTTTTGATGTTGAATCATGTTTTTGTGAAACTGGCTCCATTTTCATTGGCAATGTGTGGTTTGACCTCTTTTGGCAGGCTGTTATGTTTGGTGTTAGTCAATGCACAGCTATTGAAATTTGGTTAGAATTGAAAATGGGGAAGGTTGCCGGTGTTAACACCATAATTTTACAGTCAAAACCTGGGTAACAAACTTTTTCTGCTTGACAATCAAATGATAATTAAATATTTGATAGTTTTTATTTCTGTAGTAAGAAGGTGAGAACAGGAAACATATAAAAACAGAGACAAAGAAACTGAATGTATGGCACTGCATGAAATCCATTAAAAAAATTAGATGGACCTAAACCAGTTAATCTTGGTGTGAACTGGAGTAAACAGTGCAACTAACTACTGCAATATCTGTTTCAATTCTTTTTTCTGTAGGAAATCAAGGATTTAGATGAAATGATATTGGAAATTGGTGGAGAATTAGGGAAATTTGCAGAAGAGGATAAGAAGCAAGCTCTCAGTGATATAAAGAAAATTGAGGTACGTCAGTCTATGTCACTAAGCAATAAAATAACTTAAACTTGAAGATACATTGTACTTTTAGCGTGTTGGAATTTCCTATCAGTATGTGTACCTTTTTTACAGTAATCATTTAGCATTGTTTCATTAAAAAGTTCTAGTAACTTTTTTAACAAATTCTTGCATAGTGAGCTAAATATAAGGATTTATACTAGTATAAACAGTTTCTGTTTCACTCTCAATGTAAAATCTGAACTAGTTTTGAATAAATACAAACTTACCTCACCTAGGTGGTTGTTACTTTACACCACGTAAATTTTCTGGGCTGATTTAAGGCAGTTTGGCTCAGTTCTAGTTTATCTTCTCTACCCTCTATATAATCTTTTCCCAAGGTAGCACACTGTATGACACCAACAAAATGAATCCAATGCAAGCAAAACATTATAAATTTGGTCCAATCACCATGAAACTCCACATACAATAGCAACATAAAGATAATTCACACTAGTATTCCTCATTCAGGGGTTATGTGTAATGAAAAGGATATAACCCTTTACGCCCCAACATTAGTATGCATATTCGCCATACTTTCTTTATACATTTCTTAATGTTCTGAAAAGGAGAATTTTTTTAACAATCAAGAGCCTCTTTAGTTGTAGATCATTTCCCTTATTCTCATGACCCTAATGTTTTACACAGGGGTGATCTTGTGAGGAGAAATTGGATGCCAGTCTCTCTAAGGGGTTAAAGGGTTAAACACAGCCAATTCCTAGCTATAAGTTTACTGATAGACTTTGGATGATGAGTTATTCAGATTTTGCAGGACCTTAAAACTATATGAACTTTCAAAGAGTGGGTGATTTCTAAATTTTCTCCTATGCCACTCTCTTTGCACTTTTTGGATATTATTAATGTTACCCCTTCCCTCAATTTTATATTCTGACCATTCAGACTTATTCTGGTTTTGCATCATGTTAGGTGCAATAGCCTCTGATAGAAAGAAAAAAAAACTGAATTGGTTAATTTTGTTTACTAAATTTTCTTTCCTAGGATGAGTTGCTTAAGGCTCTTATTCCTCAAGATGGTGATGATGAAAACAGTGCCATACTGGAATTAAGGGCTGGTATGTGAGGAAAATAATTTATTAGTATGGGTTTGAAATGACTCAACTGGTTGGATACAAATTGACCTAACTGGGTATGGAACAATGGTGTATGAAACAAATATAATTACAAAATGTTTGGTAATCTTGCTAAATGCTTTTTATTCTGAAGATTAAGAAACTTTGAACACAATGATTTGATAATGCAAGGGAGATTATAGTGCACTGACCAATTACAGAAAGTTTAGGACATGCAAGAAAAACTCCAGATCATAAACTTATAATTACTTAATCTGTCTGTTGTTAACTTTTCTCACATCTGATTGGTATTTTCCTTGGAAAACGTATTCCATAATTGCATGTCCCAGCTTCTTCTGTTTGCAGTTTGCTGAGTTCCACAGAAAGTGATGCAAGTCTGATCAAATATCTTAACATCAGCCATTCTCTTTCAAAAACTAAAGATAGAGGTGTGTGGCACTGAGCAAATAATAATTGCTATATTTGTGGTATGCAGGCACTGGTGGAAAGGAAGCATCCTTGTTTACTGAGGAGATGTTGACAATGTATCAAAGGTTTGTCTTAAAAACTAAAAAGTTGATATGTCTTTTAAGTGTGCAGTCAATGTAAAATTCTGTGAGTATCAATTTTATCAGACAATAGTTCCTTTAAATTAGAGACTGGTTTAACTCCCAGAAGTGCTTAACATTTAGCCTCTCCCTATAACATCCATACATTATCCAGCAAACATATAATGAGAATACTCAAACCTATCAGGTAGAATTTGTTATCTTGATCTAGCACCCAATTCTCATAACTAATTTACAAGGAAATGTGTAGCAGCCAGATGGGAGAATAAACAATCAGATCTTTGGTTAAGTAAAATTTGAATTCAGTGAATAAGAGTTATATGTTTATGGCCCCTGTGGTGTAATCGCCACTAGAACGGGGTGAAACAAATGGTTTTAAAGAAGAACTAGAAATCAAACAATTTTTGTCTTTGTTGATTAAAGACTAGTCTATCCTTTCAAAAAATTGTCTTAAAAGGTGCCAAAAATTTGTGTGTCAGTATGTAAGGAGATAACTGTTTTATAATACTTTGTAATGGCTGACGTAAGATTCTTTCAATTGTTTCTGGAGCACACTTTTCCTTTAATTTATTTTTCCTTGCCTACCCCAGGTTTTCAGCTTACAAGAAGTGGAAATTTGAAATTCTGAACATTAGTAAAAGTGAAGGTGGTGGTATTAAGGTAGTCTTGAAAGTTTGGACTCTATGATAATTTGTTGGAACTATTTTGAATTTTTAATCTATCACACAGTTACCCCTAGTGTTTCATCAGGCTTCCCTGACAATTTTCTGGTACCCATTTAGTGAGAAACTTTGGGAGTAAAGTGTTTTCCCCATGGACACCACACAATGGTATGCATGGGGCCCGTTTCTCGAAGGTCCTGGTAACTTAATGGGCTCGCATAGCTGTTCTGTTTTCATTCAAGATGATGGTTTCAAAAGTTTTAAAAGTTGTACAATAAAACTATCAGACAGCTAAATAAACAAAATGGAATAATTAGGGTGCCAAAACCTGCTTCTCTGTTCTTTAACATTTAATTTTGAAATAACTATGGCTTCGGGCCCGGAACTTTCGAGAAACGGGCCCCTGGCCATGTATCGAACCCAGACCTCTCAACCCGGAGTTCAGTGTGGAGTTTTGTTTGAATTACTGTACACATTGTACAGTTACACTGTACAAGTTGAATTTTTTCCGTTATGCTCTTAGGTCCTAATGAATGAATCTTGGAGAATTTCAACGAAAACCGAAGAAATAAAAACAATTTCTGATTGAACTAAGAACTCTTGGTAGCTTTGTTTTCACGCTGTAATTTAAAAATAAATAATATTGAGTTCAATTTTGTTCTACTGTTTGCAGGAAGCTTCTGTGAGTATTGTAGGGAGTGGTGTGTTTGGCACGATGAAGGTAACTTGAATGATTATTTAAACATTAAACATTACTGTAGGTTCTAATTTACCTGGAAACGGTCGACAAAAAGACTCTTTGAATGTGCCAATAATAGATATCTCTCTTCTAAACTTGGTTAATGACGACCTTAGTTGTTATTTTTTGCTAGTTTGAAACTGGTGTTCACAGAGTGCAAAGAGTTCCGCATACAGAGTCGCTAGGCCGTATTCACACTAGTACTATGACTGTGGCAGTGTTACCACAACCTGAAGAGGTACAGTTACATTTCAATCAAGTATATTGAAATGACCACATCGTGTGCGTTCAAATATTGGGAATATTGCCTAAGCCTGAGAAACTATCCTCAAAATTTCTCACTTGTCCTCAAAAATTTTCTTCTCCAGCCAATGATATTTCAGTTTCGAGCGTTATTTAGTCCTTAACGTTTTGGAACTGGTCGCAACCCGACCCAGGCTCCTCTCTTTTTTTCACTCCTCTGCTACAATCGCGCCATGTACTATCACGGTCAGTTTTTCCTTCCTGAACACCCGGAGCAGGGTAGGTGTTATGCGTCTTCTCGGCCACCACAAGCGGTTTATTTACTTATTAGTATCCTACTATTGGTTATTATGGTATTACTAATCAGAAGCATTGATTTTTTAAAAAATTTTTTTTATTATTTTTGTAACACAGGCACTAAAATGCTAACATTTAGTTAATTAAATTATTTGCATACCCGGCAATACGCACATTACTTACTACAGATATAACTCTTTTTGCAATTACTAAAATGCTTCAGCACAGAGTAAACTAAATTAGTTACGATGCCTTTTAATACATATCATCGACGTCAATTAAATTACGATACCTCACAATACACACTGTTCCTTTTTTTTTTTTAAGTTACTGGCATTGCTTTTTCTCCAGGTAGATGTGGTGATTAATCCAAACGATCTCAAAGTTGATACATTTAGAGCGTCTGGGTAAGTAACTTAACAACAGTACAAAAACACCGGCAGTGAAGTGCTTCTCAAGCAGGTTTTTCTGGTTTGTTTCAGCGCCGGCGGTCAGCATGTCAACAAAACTGATTCTGCAGTCAGAATAACTCATTTACCGACGGGGCTTGTGGTCGGTTGTCAAGAGGAACGATCTCAGATTCAGGTATTATATGATAAGCTGCATTATGTTCGCATTTGGATTTTTTCCTTCTTATGATCCACAAGAGCACAGGCGCATAGATGACATTCCACCAACAGAAATTTGCTTTGTTATCATTTAAAACAAGGACATTTCATGTTGCCGCTGGTCTGCACAATAGTAGATCATAGATTATGTTGAAATGTGGTAAGTACATCATTGACACACTCGATGCGACGGCATTGGTTTCTCTTCGTTACGCTACGTGATTGGCTCAGAATATGCGTGCAATCTTCTTAGCCAATCAGATGCAATACCGAAACCAATCGCTAATTGGTCGCTCGCGTTTTCCCGCGCTTTGAGCAGTTTCTTAATTTAGCACGATTTGCATCATCCCGATTTGCCGTTGTGATTACTCCTGTAATTGTTTAACGATACTCTTTAAAATTGTATTCTAAGTTTTCCCCCCTTTTCAGAATCGACACAAAGCCTTACAAGTGTTACGAACGCGTCTCTATGATATACAGCGTCGACAACTGGATTCAGAAAGATCTGAAGCCCGCAGAAAACAGGTCAGCAGTAAAACGGAAAGTCTGATTAACTGATGCGATAAACACGAAACACAGCGGTCAAACGTTTGCGCATGCGAACTTTATATTGGCTAGTTAACGTGCTTTCAGGCTGTCAGAACCAATCGCACGAGCTGACAAGTCACGGTGTTTTAAAACGGTATAAACTCTAGGATAAATCTGAGAAAAAAATTTAAATCAAAAGGATGATCGAAAGAGTAAGCTTTATGTTCGAAAGGTTCGAGTTCTTCTTTTCCCTGCATTTGTTGTCTTTTACAGATTCTATGAGCGTTCAACCCTATGTTTTCCTTTGAGATTTTGCGCGGGAAACTGGAGCGCGGCCGGCCAGATTGGATCCCCGTGCGCGTGTCCAAAGTTTGACCGCTGTGTTGCTGCTGTAGCACGAAGCACGAGAGGTCCTTTTATTCATTTTAGTCAGGCTGGTCATTCTGGGCGTCTATTTTCCGTAACCGAAGCATTTTACGAAGTTTCTAGATTGTTCGCTGGTGCACATTTGTACTCCAGGGTGCTGGAGAGAGGAACTTTTAAGTCTCTTCAGTTTGCCCAATAACATAAAACTATGATCGTGCTCTTGCGAAAGGGAGTTTGCCAACTTGTACTTGAGTTCTAATTTGCTCCTTGTGGTAGCTCCTTTATTCCTGGCTGTTGTGTTTACCTAGTTTGCTGTTTTACGACACTCAATCAAATGTGGCCTGAAACGAAACGTTTTCCATTTAATTAGATCGGGAGTGGAGGGAGATCAGAAAAGATAAGGACGTACAACTTTCCTCAGGTGAGTCCAAGGTTTTCCTCTGTTTAGGTTTACTATGGTCTTTTTATGTGAGAAATATTCAGTCGATACATTGTAAGCTTTACAAGAACGATAGAAAGTTGTCTGTTTTGCACATTTCTCCGCTGTTGTTACTTTATAAGAAAATCCAACTCATAAGTCAGGAAATTATGGTGAAATTTGAAGTGTTGGAGACATGATTTCGAATGTTTGATGTTTGTCCCCAATCGCTATGATCACCTGACCTCAACTGGTCAACTCTGGTCGAGAATTGTGTCATATCTCGCTATAATCACCGAGGTGATTAGAGCAGGAGCGCTACTTTTCAAAATGGCTGTATTGTGTTTTGTCAATGTTTTTCGAGGAAGTGATAAACGCAATAGTAGAAAATTGAAATTCGAAGAGCACAAAAGATGCTACTAACGTAACGCTCTTGTAACGTAACGCTCTTCGAAAGTAACTTGAATTTTTTACTGACTGATTAAAATAAACCTAGTGGAAATTGTGTGCCTATCTTGAGACGAGTAATCAAAACAACCACAACAAAATATGCGTAGTGCTTTCTCTATTTATGAATAGAGAAAGTAGTGCGCATATTTTGTTACAAAATAATTTCAACCACGTAACTGATTTACCAGAAAATTCGAAAGCAACGGAACGATTGTACCAATAACAATTATTGTCCTCGGGCTCAATGCATATTGTTGTTATTCAAAAATATTCACTTCGCCTTCGTGAATAATTGTAAAGCTATGGCGGTGATAAAAAAAAATTGCACAGCTTCTTGTGCATATCCTCCTTCAAAGTCTAAAAACGAGCATGTCTTCCCCAAGGGCCGAGTGACTGATCACAGAATAGGTATGACTGAGCATGGAGCAGAACTGTTTTTGGAGGGAGAAGACAAACTCAATCACATGATCACGGCTTTGCAGTCTCAACACGAAGCCGAGGCGCTACAGGAACTGACCAGCCAATATGACACCGGGAAGAAAGGGAATAGGTAACCAAAGGAAAACACGGAAAACACAGCCAAAGACAACAACACGGCGCTTTCTCGAGGGCCCATCTTACGAATGTGCAAATGGCCAGACGATGAAATAATAGTATTTATATCGGAATTGGTTATGCATTTGTTTCTTAAAAAAGAGCAAAATAGTACATTGTAACATAGTGAAGAAGCATTAAAAAAGAAAAAAAAGTCGCCAAGTGTTGTAAACTGCCTTTCCTTGAGGATACAGAGGAAAAATGATAATGAATAACCTTTGGTTCAAATAGACAATCTTTGATCCTAAAGGAAGAAATTCCAACCATCGTCGTTACCCTTTTGGAAGGGTCACCACTTCGTAGGAAACATTTTTTAACAAGACTGTCACCTGAATGTCCACCGTGGTAACCTTTCCATATGTTATCTTTACTAAGGGGAAACCTCTATTAAGGGACACTTTTTCTAGTCCCGAGTTTGTCCCTTTAATGTACGTTCCACTGAATGAACGATGCATTTCCTAACTTTACTTTGGGACATCTCTATTCGGGGGCACTTTTTCCAGCCTCAAGTTTGAATGTCGGTTCTACGGTCTAACTTGTCATCTCTACTGAATAAACACCTCTACTCAGGGATACTTATTTCTATTTCCGATTTTGCCTCTTCAATGTAAGTTCCACCTTATGAACCATGTCTTTGGTAACTTTACTTTAGGACATCTCTATTCAATTACGTTTTTTCTAGTTCCGCGTTTTCCCCAGAATTTAGGTTTTACTGTATTTGTTGTATTTTTATTAAAGGAACACTTCTACTCAGGGACAGGTTTTTTTCTACTTTCAAGGTTGTCCCCTGAGTGGATTTTCTATTGTTAAGGAAATCTTAATTTGAGGCTTATAAATATTACAGTGTCCGCAATTATCCCCGAACCAAAGTTTATCATGGCATGATGTTATTTCAATTTTTTGTAGGTCGATCAAAGATTTAGTTTCTTTCCTTAGCAGGGCAAGAGTTGAACATTAATATTAATCGCTGATACGTTTTGTGTCAAATTGAGGAAAATATACAATTTCGTATCTATGTCTCTATTTACACTTAAAAGATATAATATGAGAGATTATATGCGACCATACGGTACGGAGACTTAAGAGGTGTTTTTACCTCTGTATCTATATAGGAATTGATAGCTTATTTCAAAATTATTAAATGAAAGGGCTGGTTTATGAACTGAATATATGTTTTTTTTCATAATTTATTTTTATTCTCATAAGTGTTGGAGCATTAGCTTTTTTGTTTTGTTTCTTCACTAAAAGGTATATTTGCATATTTGCCTTTTTGTAAATTCTTAATTTCCTGCAAAATTGAAATGATAAACGTACAAAGAGAATTTCTATGTGTGGTAATTTGACGATAAGATATAACGATAAGATGTACCTGCTACCGGCGGAGCAGTAAAAGATTCCCTCTCGCTTCATTTTTCGTTTCCAGTATAATTTCCGGGAAATGTGTGGTTTCTTGTGTTTATGAGCCTAGATACACCTGTATTTACTATCTATGGGAACGTGTTGACTAGGCTAGAAGCACGAATCACCCGTTTCAATGGGCATATCTTTAAAATTTGTTTTGTTTTTTTTTCCTTTGTGATGGAAAAAGCGCACAGCAGTCAAAACAATGCAGGTAGATTTGAAATGTAATTTGGTGTAAATCAGAGACATTTCGATGAATGTCGGCGAACGCTCTCACATTTTAAGAGTTTTAAAGTTTTAATTTAAAAGTTTAGAATGAATATGCATGTAAGCCAGAGGTTCTGTTATTAATTAGCGTCGTTTTGTTAATTGTAATCGAGTTTATGAAACTGTTTTGAAGAAAAGAGAAAGAGAGAGAAATAAGAGAAACAGAGGAAAATATTTTGTTTGTTTATGTGCATGATGTCGAGAAGAAATGAATATTTTCCAATGATTACAATTTTTACCATTTAATTCATCCACAAGGTCCGTCTTGATAGTGTTTTATGTTTGTTTCTAGAAAGAACTTGTCTAAATAAAAATAAAAATTAAAATTATTTTGTCTCAGGGAAATTTTATGATAGTTTGTATAACCGGATGATAATCTCCCCCAAGAAAGATCAGTTTTGGACCTTTTACAACGAGATCAATTCGTTCGCCGATTTCGATGGCATGTTTAAATTAGTACACGAGAGATGCTGTTTTTATATTTCTTAATTTGTCTGTTCCAGTTACCGAAAAAAAAACAACAGTAATAAGAGCAAAACATATGTTGTGTGGATAAAGTAGCGAGATTTAATAATTGCTTTCTTGTATCCTACTGAGGAAATTTCTATTGTCATGTCCAGTATTTATCGTCTCCCCCGTTTATTGACCTCGTCAAGCGGCGAGCGAAAATGACTATTATCTTTTTCAATGATGTTATATGCAAATCACGATGTCACGAGTTTCAACATTAATACAAAAAGCGAAATTTCAAAATCCTGTTGGCTTAAAGTGGCTTTTTCAAGTCTTTCCAATAAATGTTAAACAAATATTCGGGTTCGCTGGCACATCGGATGAGAAAGACTGTTTAGCATTTGGCATTTATCAGGTGTGTATTTACGTAGAGTATAACAGATTTAAAACAGAAATTCTTTGACCTGCTGCAGTCAAAAACGAAATCAAACAGTCACACGGTGGAAACGTGCGAGGTGGTTGAGCGCCGCAAATCAGCGGTTTATCTTCCATGAAATTTTAATATAACAGAGGAGTCGACCCATTAAGACAGAAACAAACATATTACCGCTTGGTAATTAGTTCTTGTCTTATTCAGCCATCATTTGGTCGCGGGAAGCTTTTTTTTTCGAGAACATTATTTCGGATCAGTGGCACACTACGATGAAAGCAGCGCTGGATAATTTTCTCAAAAACCACGCTGATGCCTTCGTACGATATCGTCGAAAGAAGCTTAAGGAAATCGAAAACCTAATTAATCCATTATTGGAAGAAGTGAAGAAACTGGATGGAAAATTTGACTTTGAAATGGTCAACCCTAAAAGCTTTTATACCATCAAGTCACCCATCCATTACGAAGTACTTCTGATTTTTCACGGGGTGGACCCTGAAGAGATTTCTGTCGAAGACGGGCAAACACCAGCGGGATTTGCGCTAGCGAAACTTACTGGTAAAAAAATGGTGTCTAAGTGGAAATTTTGCAGTGGGAACAGTAATCCCAGCAAGGTTTACATGTCGGCTAAGATTGTCAGAGAGAAACTCTTCGAGCTTGTAAACCGAGTGATCAGCAGCTCGTCTTTTCTGGAATCACTCGAAGGGAGTAACTTTTGTGTAGAAGTCGTCGACGACGACGATGTGATTTCAATGCGGGTCAGCGGACAAGACGTTGAAGCATACAGCGTTGATCTTATCCCAGCAATTCCTTATCCAGGACGCTGGGTGCTCTCTGCGCATGCGTGGGAATCCAAGCAAGCTGATTGGATGAGCAAGACTTTGAAGGAAGAAGTCATTAAGACCGGATTTCACTTGGTAGCCAGGCCATCACCGAGTAGGTCATCGTACCAGTGGCAGATTGATTTTCCTGGCCCCATGAGGAAGCTACTGGAAATAGACATGGGCTGTCGCATAAAATGTCTGCTTATTCTTGAGATCATTATGGGCGACATGTACTCTCAAAGGGATGCATGCGACAGTTTCCAACTCGAAACTCTCGTGTTGCGTATAACAGAACACTATCCAGTGAAATCGTTCTGGAGCGAAGAAAAATTCTCTAAACGTTTCTTAGACACCATAAGAGAACTGCAACGATGTCTCTCAGAAAGACACCTGACGCAGATTTTTATCCCAGGCGTGAATTTGTTTCGAGATTTCGACAAATTGAGTTTGAAAAGTTGCGAAGAAGTTGTTCAGAGTGTTTTAGAAAACCCAGAAAATTTCCTGAACACTTTCGAACTGTTCCAATATACAACTGCTTTGTAACCCAGAAAAATAGTAGGCAAAGTCTTTACTTAAGCCAGATAGCCCATCCAACCCGAGTTTTATCCCAGTTTCCTTAGCATGTAGCGAATAGGAAGTTACCTCTCCCCCTCTCCCCCTTACGTGGGATTTCAGTCCATCACAAGGTTACCCCTCGCCCAGGCATTTCATCGGGGTTCCCTGACATTTTTCCTGCACCTTTTTATACCTCCGGATGGAGAGAGGCACCGTGAAAGAGATTTGTTTTCCCAAGAAGACAACACAATGACCTGGCTAAGTCTCGAACCCAGACCTCTCAACCCGGAATTCAGCGCACACTGCGTCTCCCACCGAAAGATCGTTAGAGCTGAGTACTTTGACGTCTTTATTCTCAAGATCTAGAGTGACCAGGAGGCAATTTCTCCCAACAATAACACTACACTAACAAGCCGATGGGGAATGACAATTGAGATAATAAGGGGATAATAATTTCAGTGATGAAAAACTAAATTCTCAGAACTACCATTATAGGAGATGCGTGGAAGACAGCAAGGATAATTATTATAGTGATCTTTCAGATCTTGCTTTTGTATGATGTAGCTACCACGTTCCACTGAACGATCTTTATCTGGGATCGCTTATTTTTCAGTCAGCATCTCTGTAGGGAAGCTTTAAGATAAAAAGAAACCTTAGAAAAATCATTTACTTAGGTACACAATCAAAAAGAGGGAAAAAAAATTAATAAGGAACGAAGAACTCTTCGTGATGGGTTCCAAGTGACAGACTTGAAAAAAAGGCTACATTGGTGATGTAAATGAAGCGAAACTGTTTGAAAATGAAGCTTGCACGGGCAATATTAAATCATATATTTACCAAGCCCGCTTCCCGGGAAGTTGTAACAATTTTATTTTAAATCGTAGTGCACCAGGAGCCCATCATAAGCGCTCCCGAGTACACTGAGAAGAGTTTTGTTTATAAGTAACGTACCCGAGACCTCTTTGCTTGATTTTTTCCAAAGATTAATTACCAGCTTTCCGCTAGGATTTTCAGAATTTTAAACAATATTTCTCTATCGTTCCTTTGTACAATAACCAAGGCGATAGTGATCGGTAAATACGTTTCCCCTAAAGAATACCTATCAGTACTGTGGGCTGAAGTTTTTTTAAACAGTAGACGCTTTGATATCTGTCCAAAAGAGCCGGCGAGGAAATAAGAATATTTGAAATCAGATGGAAAGCAAAATGGAACCCACCAAATACATTAAATTTATGAAAAAATGATGCCAAAACAAAAACAAAAAGAATTAACGAGAGGACGGAACTGTGGTCAATTAATGTTTAATATGAGGATTAATGTTTCATAAGCGTGGAGAGTTTTTGTTCCTGTTACCACACCAATCAAATATATGTTATTTTATTCTATGAACGATTGATGTAAACCAATACTTTGAAGTCTCCCACACGTCTAGCGATGAAATTTATCTTTTTTAAAGAATTTTCCGAGTTGAACTGCCGGCGTTTAATGTACTGAGCAATTGTCTGCACCATCAACGATTCTTTTTTGTTGAGAGCGTAAAGAATTTTGAAATAATACAGTTTTCTAACCACGCGAGTGAACAGCCGTTGTTGTGCTTAAAGATAACACAGTTTTTTGCTCTCAACGACCGAAAAAAGTTTTGAGAACCGGATTCTGTAGTGGGTGAAACTACGCTTCATCATTAGTAATGGCGGAAAATTTCGAACTTTCAGCATCAGACAACGAGCACTGGTTAAACGGCTTTCTCCAACAAAACTGCGAAGAGGCGAGAAAACGAGTTTTAGAAGAACGAACTATGATGAATTTTGCGGAAGACGGAGGTTCTCAAGACGAATGTGATCTGTCTGGAATGTTCAACTTTAAGGAATACGAAGAGTTCGACGAACAGAGAGTCTATGAAAATATAGATTTTTCGATTCTGTCCGAAACAAAACGTGTGACGTTCAACGGTGGTATATCGACTCCCGACCTAGATGTAAAACCTGACATGGGTATTGTGGCATTGAACGGTAATGTATCAATTCATGAAGGTAAAAATCGATCAGTACACGACACTAACGATCGTCTATCGACTCCCAGCGACGACACTATCCGCTACCGAGAGGATTCTGACACGAATTTTTCGACATTCAATACATCGATTTTCAAAAGTGACAAACGGTCTGAATTGGACGCCAATAGTACTTTATCAACCCTCAAGGACGAAAAACGGTTAGAGAAGGAGGTTCGGCATAGTAAAGACAATCACTCCATTATGAATGTCACGACCCTGGACGACAGCATGTTGATTTTCAAAGATAAAGGACGACACGACGCCACCCAGGATCCAGTCAATTCTATTCCACTAATTCAGACGGGCACGTTGTATTGTGATGAAATATTGACGAAAGGCGATGAACCACGAGCTAGCCTTGACGATTATGGAAAACGCGTTGGTAACGCGCAGCCACCTTCCGAGCACGCTCCGCCCACGACAAACAATGGAGAGTTAGCCTTGGGCTTTGAAACCGAACTGGTTGAGGTGCCAAGTATGGGAATAGCTCACCCTAAAGAACAACTCTTGAAGGCAATAAACGACTTCAACAAGAATGTGGTAGAGATTCAGCGAGTTCGTTTTAAGCAGATGATGTTCCAGATCCAGGAAATAGTCAATGAAATCTTGGCGGAAGTAGAACGACTTGAAAACACTTTTAAATTCCAAAGAATGAGCCCTGACAGTTATTATGAAATGAAGTCGCAAAACGAAGTGGACATACTTGTTGTCCTGGAAAACATTTCGCACACAGAATTTATCATCGAGGATATGAAAACACCAACTGGATTTGCACGAATACGTATGACGTCAGCATACATGACGTCATTAGATGCAATGAGGTCATCAGATGTAACGTCAGAACCTAATATGGGGTCGTCAGGTGGCACCATTTTCCATTGGTGCACGGACACTGATTCTGGTGAGGTCTATTTCTCACCTAAAAAGTTGTGCATGAAATTTGCTGCCTCAGTTTCTCGAGCAGCGGCGAAAATTTTACGGCATGGCTCGAGCCCACTCAGAAAGAAAGTGACGTTTTCGGACAGAGAAGAGACATTTCCTTTCGTCGTAAATCTTATACCTACAGTCGCCTGTCCGCAGACCTGGCCGCTGTGTGCGTACTGGCTCAGAAATTACACTAAACAATGGCCATCGCCACACGTCAAAGATGAAGTCGTTAAGGGGAGAATGCATCTCGTTGCCATGGTGACTAGCCAAGAGTCTGATCCTCTATGGCGAATAAGCTTTTGCTCCGCACGTCGGCGTCTTCTCCAGGCTGATGGTGATGGAAAAAAGAATTGCTTGCGCGTGTTGAAAGTTCTCCTCGTAAAAGACTTGTCGAGACCCAAAGGCATCACGCCGCTGTACCTAGAAAACATTGTACTATGGGCGAGTAGGAAGCACTGGCAAGAAGAGGAATGGGCCGAGTCTATGTTAGCCGACAGATTCTTGGAGATGTTGGTGGCGCTGCACAAATGTCTGGAAAATAAGGATTGTTATAACTTTTTTGTGCCAACAATGAATCTTTTCAATGAGTTGAAACCCGATGCTTTGAAAGTGTTGGCTTCGAAAGTTGAAGACATCTTGCGTGATCCCTTCAAATATCTGAAAACCCAGGGAGCCATACCCACCCCCTGACGTAGGACGTTTTGCTTGCTCCAGAGCGGCATGGTATATCAAGACAACTTTTTCTTTTTTGGTTGTCGTTACCTGCATGACTGACATTGTACAAACACTGTTTTTTTTTAATTTCTAGACTGGGTCACCTCTAATCATTCCTTGGGGTAACAGTTTCAAAGGTCTAGATCTTAATGACACAGTGTAGGTCCAATAGCTGTCCTACGAGTTGATAAGTATTAGAGTACAATCCACTACCACGAGATTGTGTCCCGCCAGCAGGGCCGTAAATGATCTCTTGAAGTGGCAAAAACTCATCTTTCTGAGTCGCACAATTTATTGGGGCTTTCTTAAATGATGGTCAGTGTAATAATTCCACATATACTTTCTGATAGCACCGACAAAAGCTTTTTTCTGGAGTATACTTTGTCATGGACAGAAGTAGATTAGTGCAATGTGCAGTATGATATTCTGAAATATTTGCTGGTTTAGGGATACTCACACCTTCCCCCCCTCCACCGCTTTTAGAATATTGTTTCTGAAAGACGGACAAATCTATTTGTGTTTTTTTAATCGGTTTATTTATCTACTCATTTAAAGTTATTGTATTTTTTTCTTAGAAACTATCCTGTCACTACACTTGTTGCATGATCTCAATATAAGAAAGAATGCTTTTATCATATAAATTACACCTAAGTTGGGGAAATTAAATACTTGACGTCAAATAACTGCTTATTCTCCCTTGTTATTTAAATAAATCGAAAGATTTCTAAAAAATGTTTCACCTTTTGGCAAGCTCTCTCGTTAAAACACCGAGTAATGCGAAAACCAAAAGCAGTTTTGCTCGTAGGCTAGTAAGCTTTCAACTGTATCTAATTATATATTGATAAGATAATTAAAACCTGACCCAAATTACCTGCCCAAATTACCGTTATGTTTATGTATTTTGTATGTTTTTTGCTATGGTTACATATTTCATTATTAATTATATACTTGAAGTAAAACATTGTATTCCGCTGTCAATCTGAACAGCTCATACAATAAAATGGCTTAAAAGGAGAATTTCTCTCACTTACAATGCAATGGCTTTAAATCAATAATTCCGTCGGACTTAAAACGGAACTCAGAAAGACTGAGTTCGACCCATAACGCTACGTTAAAAAACTTATTTTCCTAAATTTTTTACCAGTTCTAGAAAAATTTAGCGAAAATGTTCCTCAAAGATAATTTCTCTTCAATGTAGTTCCTTAATCTCTAGTGTTTTTCTTAGTTATCTCTTTAACCCTTTTCACTCACTTGAGTGACCAATACAGAATTTCTCCTTACAACATCCACACAATATCAGGCAGAGTAGTGATGAGAATATCGAAAAACATCAAATAAGGAATTGTTAGTTAATCCAATACCAAATTCTCTGAACGAACATTGTGAGAATTGTATGACAGACAACGAAGAGAGTTATAAACGAGATCTTAGGAGTAAGAGGGTTAAGGTTGTTCCGGCGGCCTAGTCTTGAAGTACTAAAATAAAAAAATAGCAAACGTTTATATAGGGAAGCTTTAAATCCATTTTGATAGCCAGGGTTTCAAAAGTGAGTAAGAATCATTACTCTTCTACTTGAAAATCTTTGGATACAAAATTTTTCCACTACATCCATTACATTTCAGAAACTAAGGGAAAATTTAGTTGCTCGAGAGGCCGTTTGGTATAGTTCTAGGCTGTTTTTCAAGAACATATTAAATGATATTTATAAACGACAGTGAAAAAGCAAAACAAACTATATTACTCCCTAAATTTTGAAATGGGTAGCTTCAAGGATACTGAGGTTATTTATTACGCAAGGTCATCTCTGGCCTTGGCCAGCTGTGGATAAAATTTACATCTGAAAAAAGCCTTTACTTTTCAAAAAAAGGAAAAAATAACTTCGCAGGTTTTTCCAAGCACCAAGTAAACTCCTCCAAAATGATAAAGTCTAAGACTGATTCGATCTGACTTTGCGGCTAACTGTCCATTGTTCCAAACGAAACTGTTTGGGGATCGCTTGTAGTCGCTCTGTGAAAGAATCTTCTCCAACGCTGATCTGTATATCCTTGGCTAAGCGTGTTTGACTCTCAAACAGAAGTATCACCAGATTTGTGACCGTTACGCTGTGAGAACTTCCTGGTACCAGGAAAGCTGTTGTTTGAGCCATGAGCGCTGTGTGCATATAAATGCTCTTGTCTGAGAAGTAAACTTCTGAATAACGTGTCGAACCTCGAGTCCATGTGCTCGAGCATGGCCTGGAGCTTAGCTTCAACTCGCCCCATAATTCTCTTCTCTGCGGCATAGATGTTCGTGGTGATAGAGTTATAAACTGATAAACATCCGGGGCATCCGCATTCGGCGCACCTGAGTAACAATAGAAATGCATTTTGATAACATGGGCACTCTCTTTTTTAAAGGCGAAATGCTGCATTGTGTTAGCTTTTAGTGGAGTTGAGAGGGAAATTGGCGCAGACCTTTGAAGGGAAATTCTGAAATCAGTCTTTCGGTACGTCGGCTGGCAAGTTTACTTCTACCAAAGTGAAACTCTAGGCAGCTTAGCTGTCCCATCAGTGTTGCAGTTACCATCAACACATCTCCTTCTCCATCCACCCCTCCCTCAACTGCCAAACGCTACCTCCCCCGACCCCTACCCCCATTATCATATTTGCCCTTACCTGGACTTACTCCCGGGATCCGAGCTGTCAGACGAAGCCTTCTCTAACGGAGCAGGCGCTTGTTCAGCCATAACTCGTTCTACAGCTCGCTTGTCTTCCAAGCAGAATGACTGCGCCCGTGGATTGATTGTAGTCTGTGTCGCTACAGGAAGCGCACTGCCGAGGGACACTGGTCTGGCTTTGCGCACCATGTTGCGGCTTGCACGTACACGTGACTGTAAGTAGGTTTCCCACCGGTGCTTAGCGAGCGTGGGTGATTCCGGGGTATCGGGTGCGCCATTTTCCACCGACAGAGTAGCAGAGTTCTCCGCTGATTCGGGTGACTTCTCAACCATCAGGCCTGCTAGCATATTAATAAAATCTTCATCGCCTTCTGGACTTCCTGGCATATTCCGCGCTGTAAGGAAAACAAAAGGTAAGTTGGCTATCTAAAGCAATTTTAAATTGAGAGTCGAAATTCATCCGAGATTGATTTCGTTCTGCTTCGCGTCGTTCTGTGATTGGTTTTGCACCACTCTATCAACTAATCAGATGCAAAACTAAAACCAATCACGACTTGGTTGCCCTCGTTTTCCCGCTCTTTGAACGGTTTGGTTTTCATCGGCTCTTAAAGGTAATTTCCTGTCTTTCGATTGGCCATTGTCCGTTGTGATTACTTTGGTTTGGTTTTGCGACACTCAGTCTAAAGGGACTCTAGAAGTCGAAGTTGATTACACCTAACTGCAATAACATTGAGAAAGTAAAGAACGTTTTAAAAAAAGCCAGTTCGGAATTATTTACATCGTTATAAATCATTTCATTACACAGACTGATGCTGAAAGTACGTTCCTGCCTCTTTCTATCAGACTTAGTCTCTCCCAATCAGTAGAATTTTTCATTAAGCAAAAAATGATCAAACCTGTTAACCTCTAGATTGCTCTTAACCTTTTCACTTTGTATTACAAGTTTCATTACAGAAGACGGGCGAGGAATTGAATTATAGAAAGAAAACTCCAAAAAGGGGTGTTGTCCATGCCAAATATTCACAGCATAACGTTAAGGGAGCCTGCCTTCTTCAAAACGCGAACTTTACCTTGGAAGTAAAATCAGTGCACTTCTCAAAGCGTCTTCCAGGCGTTCAGTCAGTACAACGATGCTCGATAGAAGCGGAAGAGTGAAATACCGAGGGATGTTTGGGTCGGGTGGTGTTCTCTACGCAACTCGACCCGAATCGCCCTCGTTTTCACTCTGCTGCATCTATTGCACCCTGAACTATCTGGAATGGGCTACTTCTAAGTGACTGACGGAAACCAAATTGCTCCGCTTGATTCGCCTACACCCGGGGTTACGAAATCTTTAAGAAATTGTTTCGACGTTTGGCAAAACTTTCCTCAAATTGGAGAAAACCACAAAACATGAACATTGAAAGATGGAAAGGCATTAAAGATATTGAGAGGAGGATTTCGAACCAAGGTGGAAAAGGATGGAATAGTTTAATGAGGACTGAAAATTTTTAACTCTTAAAATTTAGACCAAAGTCGTAGCTTGCAAGACGGATTTCGCTTTTTTTTGAGGGGGGGGGGGGGGGGCGTTTTCAAGCAAGCGCAAAGTCCGCTCAACTGAAAAAGGGAAAAGACAACTTGTTCTGTAGGCTGAAAGTTCAACTCACACATTCTTTCTGCTTTCTCCTCCTCTTCCAGTTGTTTCGCTCTTGTCATGGCCTGTGATAAGATGCTAGTTTCACTCCCTGATAAATTCATGGCACCAAGGTGTTCAGGCAGAGACCCACTGCCGTGGCTAACAGATCTGACATGCTCAGCGACACTTCTACTTTGACTCTGCCGAAAACACTTCATAATTAGTTTACTGAGTCCGATAAAAGGGTTCAATTTTGGCTACAAGCGTAAGAGCTAAGTAATGCAAAATAATTGGTAAAACTAGATCACAACGCTACTATATAATTACCAACCATTTGCTTGCTTTCCATGGACTCCAAGAGTTGCTGAGCCTCTGGCGACAGCTGTTTACCCAGACTATCCAAATAGCTTCTCACATTAGAGATATCCACTTGGCCTGGTATCAAACCCTGAAAAAGATTGCATATCATTCCAATTTATCTGACAAACTGAATGATAATTGCATCTTGATTAGTTTTTACTAATCAGTTATGAGATGGCAGTGCATTATGGGAAGATTGGGTGTTATGACATCAAATACATTAATGGCTTTTCAGCATTCTAATTGACCGTATTTCCTACACCATGGTGTACATGTCTGCATTCAACTGACCGAAGAACTTCCCAGAGAGCTGATTTTTGTCCTGTGTTTGGCTCATTTCCAGTAGCTGAAGTGTTCAAAATCAAAACTCTAACCTGCAAAGGCATTCCTGGGCTGGGAGGAAGTGTAGAGACTCTGGCAACTCGCACAACAATGGTCTGAAGTCTCATTGATTGCTCTTCTGCATATGATAGGAACTGGACATGAAAAATCAAAATCTTGTCAGCTATAATTTTTCAAATTGTTACTGTTAAAACTACAATCTGACAAAAATTTTAAACCAGATAATAGACCTAATGCATGAATGGCAGACTCGACTAGTATTCTTTTA